ACGTTCGCCAAGGGATGGCAGGTTGAAATCCCCCAGTACTATAAGTCTGGGGAATTCAACTGCCAGTCCGGCTACTGACTCTAGGAGCGCAGGCAGAGCTGTTATGACGCAGCTGGAAGGTAGGTACGTCAGAAACAGGCCCACTTGACCCCCTAGGTCCAACTTCACAAGGAGGGACTCACACCCGACATTCTCTGGAGCAGGGATCCTGCGAGGGGTTAATGGCTCCCGGATAATAACTGCGACTCCTCCACCCATTCCCTGGTGTCGTGGCTGGTGGAGCACCTGAAACCCTTCTGGGCACATTTCAGAGAGGGGGACTCCTCCCTCGTGGCCCAGCCAGGTTTCAGTAATACATGCCAGGTCTGCCCCCTCGTCTAATAGTAAGTCCCGGATGAGGGGAGCTTTATGGACTACAGACCTGGCATTTAGCAACAGCAGCCTGAGACCAGGACCCTGGCTTCCCATGTCACCTGGTTCCCGAGTTGAGCTTTCAGAGCCGGAACAAAGGATCGCTGTGACGTAGCGAACCCTCCTTCCCCGGTAATGGCTAGCCCTGTAGCTCCCATCATACCTGCCCCTCCCAGTTGTGACCGTAATGCTCTGGCCCGCCCCCATCCCCGTGGACCCCTCCCTCCCTCCCAAGGCCCCCGTTCTTCTCGGCAGGCCATTCATACCAAACACTCTGGGATGAGAGGCGGATCCGGGCCCCCATCCACTTCTGCTTCTGCACTTAGTGGAGGGGGCTCCAGGCTGTACTCTCAATCCCCTCATATGCACCGGCCAGGCATTCTCCACATACATAACCCACTATAGAGTTAAAAAGAATACAACAATACAATAAAAAAGAATAAATTAAACTAGTTTAAAAGAAAGTGGGATCATTCAATCGCAAGCATACACACACACGCTCCACATACGGAAAAGGAGGATTGCACAGATATTAAAGTTGATATTGTGCAAGTAAGTTCGTACAGTTCATGAGGCGGAAACACAAAGTCGAGTCAGTGGCAGGTCGACGGTGATATAGAGGGAGTAATTCATCTTCTCTCCCAAAACAGCATGGCAAAGGGGGGCAAAAGTCTGGGTGGCTGAGATGATGTCCCTGGGGCAGCGGTGGGTGGCAGTGGTCGTAACAAGGAAGCAAGGTCATAAATCTGGAAGTCCAAGAGTCCAAAGTCCATAAGCAGAGAGAGCCAGATGGTAAGGATGGTAAGGAAAGGAGGCCCCACAACCGCAAGAGAAGGTGGAGGAGAGGCCACACCACAGAGAAAGTCCGATCGAGTGGAGGGGGGGGGGCGCCCGAAGGGGCAGCGACCATGACAAGCAAGATCAGCTGCCCATTTCCCCCAATAAATATCTATGCAACTATTTTATTATAATTTTATTATTATTATTTTGCTTACTTGTTAACCTATAAACTGCCCAAAGCCTATAGGATTGGGTTGATCTCTAAATATTGTGAAATAAATGATGTTTCTTGATGCTCTTGTCCTACCCACTCTGAAGCATGTTTTCTTCTTTTTTTTTAGGTTGGCTACCAGGCTGGGAGCAATGGCCAGCCGCTGCCTGTTCAGTACATGAATGATCTGGACAGTGCCTTAGTTCCAGTTATTCATGGAGGGGCATGCCAGCTGAGTGAGGGCCCAGTCATAATGGAGCTTATTTTTTATATTCTGGAAAACATCTCATAAAAGGACTTCATTTTCTTTCAGACCTGTTCCAGCAGCAGTTGTATCTGAATCATTTGCACTTTAAAACTGGAAAAATTAAGCTTTTAGTTAACACTATTGTGAGGGGGGGATGGGTGGGTGAGAACAGTTGTTCCATAATTCTGAATTGTCTATGCATTTGTCAACAAACAGGATCAGGGCAGCGTCTATGTTACAAAAAATGGCTATGCTATCTTTGCAGCTAACACACATCTGTTATGAATAGAAATAGAAACCAATAAGGGTCATGTTTTAAGGCAACTGCAGTCATGTATTTTGATGCTCAAAAGAATGCAGAGACTACTTGTGGAATAAGGAAAAGACGTGTCAACATTTAACTTTGTAGATAAACTTATTATGAAGAAACAATCAAGACCTCCATTCTGACCTCATTCTACTGCTGTTTATGGTTAATTTCTCTAGACATTTAAAATATATTGTTTACATTATTGTGACCACTTTATTGGTCAGAGTACCTCCAGGACATGCTGGGCTATTCTTCAGAGAGGTTCAGAAAGAAAGACATACATCAGGAAGATACCTTTTACATCTGCCCAAAGGAGAAATCTTTCCAAAAATTGTATGTAAATTAAGCTTGCATTTTCTGTGCTTTATCTTTTTCTTTCTTTTTTTGAAGTCTCATTTAAGAATGAAATTGGCAAACCTGCTGTAAATTTTTCTTTTCTTTTCTGCACTTTAGTCTTATTATGCCTTTGGCAGATTTCTTCAGTCTTAAATGAGCAACTACATGAAATTGCTGTTCTTTTCAGCTGATCCTTCTTTGAAAGGAACACACTTTTTAATTTTGTTTGATAGGTGTGTATTCTACTTAAGTGGTCCATAGCATTAACCCTGTACTTTATAATAGCACCACTATATAAAGCTATCCTCTGAGAATTCTAGCAAGTTTGTCTACTGTTCCATGATTTACTTTCGCTGCAGGTTGGAAAGCTTGCACCTTGTCTCAGTGGAACTGAACTCTGAGCAGACAAGCAGGTTGAGCCTTCTTGCAAAAACATATCAGGCTGGCAGTGACAGTCAGCAAGAGAAGGTTAGCATTTTCCTGTTAACACTACATTTCCTGAGAAAACAGTAACAAGCAGAAGGTTGTCAAAAGATTGACACAATAAATTCAGACAGTGCTATCCAAATGAGTAGCTATCATCCATGTGCAAGGAGATAAAAGACTGAGCTTTACTGAATGAAGATTAGACAATGGTTAGCAAATTTGTATTGCAATTCAAGGATGGACAACAGTGGCAGCTATAACAAATTTTTCTCTGTAGATAATCATATACATGAACGTGTAGATTTTATTTTTGAATGAATTGCCTCTGCATCCTTAAATTTGTAAAAAAACAACCACAGCTGATGCTAAACTGCAACTAGAAGAAAAGATGACAAGGGAATTAGATCAAAGCCGTGAACTGAAGGACAGAAAATAAATCTAACAATTAAATGTTAGCCCCATAAATAGGTCATGTAATGCTAAACTTATATATGTTCAATATATAGCCACGCAAGAGGGAATGGATAGATATTAATGAGCACCTGTGAAACCATGTGCAAAACAAGGGTCTTGCAAAGCAATTTTAAGTTTATTTCTTTTCCTTGCACACAAATTCAAGTTCCTTATAAGCTTTCTCTCCTTCTGCAATAGCATTGTTTTACAGGCTGAATTGCCAAAGTTAATACAATTGCTCTTTACAACTGCTGTAGATTCTTACTTTATTAGCTGCATCTCAAGTTTCACCATAGAAGCAAGCTTTTCAGTAACTTAGCTTTGCATTAAAGTTATTGACAAATGGAGAAAGGCTGAACTTTTCATCCCTCTGCAGAAAATCATTTGTTTGGGCTATGTTTGTGCAAAATTCTATTGACTGGTTTGCTTCAACCACAGCCTTTAAATGACTTTAAGATTACCATATTGTTAAGAACCGAGTACTTGTTTAAAGAAAAAAAATGTACTTTTAAAATTCAGTTAACACTGCAAAGACTGCATATTATATTTTTATTTTCAACATGTAGTTTTGTATATTAAATTTATTAAAATTACAACAATGCTGCATTGTCTCCACTGACTTAAGACAGAAATGAATGCTGGCTGCATGGCAGACTTAAGTGTATGTATGAAATCACACACATATTGTGGAAATCTTCTGCAACTCCCTTGCTGGAAGCCATGAAACTTGGAGAAAAAGAAAGATAATTTTGATCTCTAGTTGCTTGTTCTATTTAGGAGGCAGGCGACAACTGTCTTGTACTTTCAGTCCAATTGTTGTGTATCTACTGTATTTGCTGAAGCAAGATAAAAATCTTGATATTTAACAGTAAACAGTTTTATTCCTGCCTTGGTTGACAGAAGAGCTAAAGGAATACAAATGAGAATTTAAAAAAGAACTATTAACTATCTCACATTTGATACAGGCTCCCCCTTGGAGAAGTTGTGCTCTAGTCACACTTGAGCAACATGGATGCATATATGAAAAGATGTACAGTAACTTAAAATCTTCATTGCGGGCAATTTAAAGAGAGATACAATCACAGCTGCTTAACCTACACTTCAGTAAACAAGACTATCCATTTATTCCATGGGTCAGAAACACATCTTAATTGCAGGTTATATAACATGAGCTGCTGCATCATATCTTAATTATACTGCTATTTATTAAACTCTTTTCTCCACACTTACCAACATGTCCTTTTTTTGCTCAAGTCAGCAATCACATTAACAAGTACCATTTATGTATTACCAACAATTTTAGCCTCAAGAAAGGTTAAAATAGGTCAGTCTCTTTGTGTATAAGTACCTTCATTCCTAGTAGTAGACTTACAAAGCTTACCAACTCATACTATATGATAGTTATGAAAATAAAGATGTTATGTTTAGTAGTGCATTCACTGAACATCTTTGGTGCTTGCAGAAACTCCATGTAAAGTCCATTCTGCAGCTTTTAGCATTCCTGGATCTAGGTGCAGGGAAGAAAAAGTATATTTTTATAAATCAGAGAATAATAAAGCAAGATCCTATGACTTAAATAAAAATAGTATCCATTACTGAAATACACTGACTTTCCACCATACAATTCAAAAGCAATTCCATAAAAATTACTTCCTTACATGTATCTCTAACAATGTATCTGTGTTATCATTGCTTAATGGTGGATAGCAGTGATCCACTTGTATAATTTACTTGGGTATTTTTTTAGAGTTTAGTAGTAATGAAATGATAAAAACATACAAGCTAAAAGTATTTTTAAATAAAGAAGGGAAGTTACAGATCTGCATATGAAAAACACTTATTACAAGTTAAAGACTGGACTGAAATCATTTTTTAACTTATAGGGTTACAGAAAAAAGATAAACACTTCTACCTTCAGCAGAATTAGTATTCAAGAACTAGCCAGTTTTCTGTAATTGTCTGAAGATCTTGCCCAGTAAGTGGCTCCCTAAGTCTTACTTTTATTTCTAGTTTGCCTCCAGTAGGCTTCCTACTGTCCAAAACCTTAAGACAGAAAAGACATAATTGAAACAAAACAATAAAATTCCAAGATAATTGAAGTGGCTTTGAACACACTAAAGCATTTTTAGTTATGACCAATGACAATGTGCTATACTGTAAGTTGTTTCCTTCTTTTATTGAAATAAATCATTCAATTTCTCTCTCCACCGTTTTCTATTTTTCCATCTCAACAGTCAAGTTGTTTCTAGCCACTAAATATGTTCAAACTTCTTGACCTTTTTAAAGTATGCCGAAAATACTTATTTGTATGTATATGATACAATTTTGGCTATGTATAGTTATCAATACATAAGGTAAACAATACAAAGAGAAGGAACAATAGTGCAAAGTTACATGGACAAATTACATCATAGTTTAAAAGGTGTTATTAAAACAAAAATAAATTTTGTATTCAAGCTTTCCCTTCTTTGCAGGTTTATGAACAAATATATCAGAAAACCTATTTGGAAACAGCAAAATATCTACTAAAGCATCACATTAAGGTGTCCAATTCTATACACAGTATGATTTGTGATTTGATTTTCAAGTCAACTTCTGCATTTAGATTGCACAGAAATATGCAGACACAGATGTGATTAAGAAATGTTGCTCAGCACATAATTCTTTCATTCTTGTACCAACACAAACATGGTCTGAAAATTTCAATAGATTTTCTTATCCACATGAAGACATGGATAAATCCTCCAACTATTTTGGAACCAGCATATAGGCCAACAATGGCGAGCCTTTTCGGCACAGAGTGCCCAAACCGGAACGTGCAAGTGCGTACTGGAGCACCAGAAATCTGAAGACCAGCTGGCAGGTGTGCATGCACACTGGCTAGCTGGTCTTTGGATTTCCAGCACTCCGACACGCACAAAGAGCAACTGGTAAGGGCGCGCTTGCCCAAAGAGAGGGCTCTACGTGCCACCTCTGACACGCGTGCCATAGGTTCACTACCATGGATATAGGCAAGGATAATGTAAGGGAATGAGGAAAACATGTTATCAATGAACTGCCAAGGATAGAAATCCCATTTTATAGAATATCTTCAGAATACAAAATGATATAAAGAAAATACCATTTTAATACAGTGCTTTTCAAAAACCTTGGCATTGTACCTCAACAATCTCTCTAATTTCACATTCAGATTCCAATTTGTCAAGTTTCAAATGTGCTGCTCCCACTTGCTTGTCACTCCTGAAAAAGGACCTGAGGAAAAGAAATAATCAAAACCAGAATTAAGCTCCCTTAACAACTGGGTTGGGAAGCAGCAACAACTTTCTATACTCATTCAGGACATGAATTGACAACCTTTGGTTAATTAATTTCTTTGGACTCAATTATGGATTTAACTTTCTTCTAGTTAAAAATAACTAGAAGAAAGCTGACCAAATGCTTGTTTTATGCTAATAATGGTCACAGCTTTCTGCCAAATGGATTAGGAGAAATAGATATGAGCTATCGTCCCCCCCCCCTCTCTCACACACATACAGCTAGGGACTGGGACTTGGTGGAAACAAGCACCTTAGTTTTTTTTATTTAATTAAATGTATATTCCACCCATCTAACTGTCCACTCTTGATTAACTAATATACCATAAAGATTATTCTCTGCCTGTTTTCCTTGAAGCACAGCAGAACTTCCAAAAGTCAACAGAGTCACAGTATGTGTCCCCCTCTTTTTCAAAGAGAACATTTGGGTTCTGTTTCATACAAGTAACTGAATTGCCCTCCCCTGGACATTGAACGCTTACCCTTTGTGAAAAATCTCAAACTTGATTCCTTTGGTTTGAATTGCTCTTCGAAAACCTCTATGATTGCGATTAATGTTCAACTTGAATAGCTGATTATATTCTACAAGTTTAAAGAAAGTTGCATAAAATACCTGAAACAGTTAAAAGGTTCTGGAGTCATTCAGATATCTAGCAGAACATGTTGCCAGTGGTCCAAAAGAAACAGATATCTTGCCTTTGCGTGGCATGACGATGACTTTAGTTCTGTAACTTAAACAATATCCTATTTCCACAGGCATTTCCCAGGTTAAACAAGGAATCCATTTCAGGAATCCTTGCAAAAGCTGGTATTTTCACGTTTGAATTTTCATGTATGACCCAATGAAAGTGCCATGTTGGCTATGCAGAATAATGATTGCTTAAGGGATCAAAGTTATCACGAATTGTATAACCTGGGATCCTCTGAGCTTCTGGAGTGTACCTTAATTTTACCTTATTTTTAGCTTAATGTTATTCCATAAATATATAAACATCTGGAATACAAGCGGAGTGACTTCATTTTGATCTTTATAAATCTAAGCAATTTTTAAAAAACATGCTATAGGATTTATTTATTATTAGCTTTCTATGCCACCCATCTTATTAAGGCTTATTCTAGGCTACAAGAACTATGCTAAATAGCTGTAAGAATCATAGAACACCTGCTAGAGTCCTATAACCAGTACAAGTTCTCAAGCCTAAAACTGAATGATCTCCAGTTAAAAGAATTTCATTTAAACTTTGCTTCTGACATCAACAGGTCTTGGCTTAAATTTTTAAAATGAAAACCTCTCGAAGGGGGTGCCAGGTTAGGAAAGGATGTGGTCAACAATATTCGATTAACAGAGCTGAATGTAAAACAGAATTATCCCTTTCATCTGGTTCTGAAATAACCATTCATTAGAAGGCTCAAATGTAAAAGAAAACCCAAATGCACACACCTGGGCAGTTGGTATTTTTAACCACTGATGTTTTGCTTTTCTGAGCTTGTTCCTAGTTTGGGGGGAAAAAAGAAATACAAGTAAAAATATTTAAGAAGCAACTAAACTAACCCTTACCTCAGCATGATAGATTTGTAAGATTTTGTATGTTTTTATTTTGGAAATACAGCGGCATAAGTAAAATGTCTATAATTCACTGGAGAGGCTAAAAATAGTGACCTGTGAAATGAGAAGAGTTTCTCATAATCCAGGGCCAGTGGTGGGTTTCAATTTATTTTACTACTGGTTTGCTCGTGCATGCATGTGCGCACGCTTGGACACACTTCTGCGCATGCGCAGAAGCATTGGGTGGGTGGAGTCTCCTCCCCCCCGCCCCCGTCACCACTACTGGTTCACCCGATCCCTGGCAAACCGTCAGAAACTCACCTCTCTCCAGGGCTGACTAAGTGCTTCCAAAAACCAATAAAGGGAGGGAAGCTACTGAACATTGACTAGAGTGCAACTTATTTTTTTTCTTACATTTCAAATCAAAAGAAAGAAAATATTCTGGCTGGGTGAAGGGATTGTGCCATGAAATATATGGTTGTTCGGTTGTATTTGTAGATAGAAAGAATCTGGAATATGCACACCCTTCTAGATCCTTTAGAATGTATAGGAATAATTTCAGACAGACGTTCTGTTAAATAACCCAGCACATGAAAGCCCACATCAACTGAGGGATAGATGGGCAGTAAACCAGATGAATGAATGAATGAATGAATGAATGAATGAATGAATGAATGAATGAATGAATGAATGAATGAATTTCCTGCCAAATGTACACCATCTCTGACTGAAGAAGTGCTTCTCACTCAGGGGCAAAAATGCAAGTTCTGCCTTCTGAGAGGTCCTAGAAAACTTTCTTCCTTCCCTCTCCAGGCCCTCACAATCTCTGACTACTGAAAAAGTTTCCTAACAGCATCACTTGGCTTATTAGCTTACCCTATTGTCTTTTTTTCTTTGTCTTTTTCTGGCTGCATCCTATAACCTTGTTTCTTGCTTTCTTTTCACCACGAGTAATCTCTCTTATTTCCAGCTTTGTTTCTTTTCTCAATTTCCCCACTGATGAAGAAAATTGCTTCTGTTTTCCCAAATCTTACTCAGTAGTCTCTCCATTTTCTTATGTAATCTGGATATGTCCCAAAGGTGTTTTTAAAAAGGCAACTGGACTTCCTTGGTTTTTTTCCCCTTGAAAATGTTTCTCTCCTCATACAAGAAGCATCTTCAGAAGAAGCTTTTTTGATGAGACGCAAAACATTTTCAAAGAAAAACCAAGAAAGTCCAGTTGCAGGCTGATTCTGCTAACTGTCAACTGCTAGCAGTTGGCAGTTCAAATCTCACCAGGCTCAAGGTTAATTCAGCCTTCCATCCAGTGGTGAAATTCAATTGTTTTTTTACAAACGGTTCTGTGGGTGTGACTTGATGGGCGTGGCAGGGGAATGATACTGCAAAATCTCCATTCCCACCCCACTTGGGGGCCAGCCAGAGGTGGTATTTGCTAGTTCTCCAAACTACTCAAAATTTCCACTACTGGTTCTCCAGAACCTGTCAGAACCAGCTGAATTTCACCCCTGCTTCCATCCTTCCAAGGTGAGTAAAATGAGGACCCAGATTGTTGAGGGCATTAGGCTGACTCTGTAAACTGCTTAGAGAGGACTACAAAACACTATGAAGTTGTATATAAGTCTAAGTGCTATTGCTATGCTCATCAGCCTTACCACCTGTCAATCAGGTTGTGGAGGAGAAAAGTATGAATTTGTACTTACTATTTATATTCACTATCCAAAGTGCTGATATTTGAATACCCGGGAAAAAAAAATATTTAAAAACAATTGCTAATTTTGGTATGAAATAAATACTCAAGAGGCTAACAGAGGCCTTGATTATAAGCTTGATTGTATACTTACTGTATTAGGGTAATGAAATTCAAATTTCACAACAGCATCCAAATCATTAGGCGCTACTCCTGGGTAAAAAGAATAAACCAGTTGAGTATAAAGTATAAGCTTCTTCATGGCAACAGCCATCCCACAGAAAATAATAATTAGTGGATTATCAGGATGTTTGCTTGTTAGATCCAATTTCTTTGCAAATTTTAAGACGCTCAACCTTTACAGATGACATGGAATTAACATCTATAAAGTTACTGCTAGAAGCAATAACTCTGAGCTACATTTGCACTTGCTGGCTCTGAGCCACTTTAATAAATTTCAGATGTTGTATCCAATGCAGCCCAATTTAAGACATTGCACTTATCTGTGTACTTTTAATATTTTCTTGTCAAAGTAATCCTATTGCAATAATTAGATCAAACCCAACCCCTGGAAGATCATTTTTGAAGGTGGGGGGAGTTTGAACAGGCATTTCAGAATTTAGGTATTACAATAGTTCTTCAATCCCACAAGAGAATTTAGAACTCACCCAAGCAGGAATAGTTTAATATTCATCATCTTAATATTCAACTTTCTTTAAGCTTGTTATCATGAAATGAAGTCAGTACAGGAAAATCCCACTTTTTTTATTGCTTTTTCTTCCTGACCCACCATATTATCTGAAAGCCCTTCAGTTCCCTAAAGCTGGCTTTTATGTAAGAATATAAAGTTGGCAAGAAGCATTCTGCAGAGTTAGCTATTCTTGAACATGAAATTCAGAGATTTAAAAACAAGTGGGACAAACTTAAAAAGGAAAAAGGTTCCCCCAAATTACATGTTGGCTGTGAATTACCTGCTGGAGCTGGTAGATTGATTCCTCTAACAATGATTAGATGCATTTCTGTGCTACTGAGTTCTGAAAATATTCTACAAAGCAAGTTAAAAGAATATATAAATAACTCAATTTTCTTCTTTACCTTAAGTTTTCCAAATCAAAAGTTAACAGAAGTGTCGAAATCCAAATTATGGGGGGAATCATAACATGCTATGGGCACATTAAACAGAATTGCAGGGAGACTGTCAAAAGGAGGAGATCTGGACACAACATGGATTTAGCTGACAGCTACATAATTTCTTGTTATGCTTCATTCTGCTCTGAAATGCATATTTTTTTAAAAATTGCAGCTTTAAGGTTTAGAAATATCAATACAGAAGGCCATAGAATGCTAGATTGTTTACTCCCACATTTTTCAGAAGGGATTCATACAAGTCATCAAGGTACAGGAACAAGAGTTTTGCAATCTTATTACTGCTCACAGAAGATCAGCCCTTGGTTATCCCTACCTTACAATTTTAAAGGTTCGTTCTTCAAAGTGATGGCTTGGAGGATCTAACCCCTGCTTCTGGGCGAGCTGTAGGATCTCTAGATCCTTTTTACAATGCTGAGTTAGCTTTTCAAACCTGAAACACAGAGAAAGAAAATGGGATGTAGAGTGGAGGTGACCAATGGAAAAGTACATTTTGGAATAGTTTTTATTTCTTATCCTGTACTTGTTTGTTTGTTTATTGGATTTATATGCTGATAAGCATAGAGTTCCCAACTCTCAAATTCCTGGATAGCACTTCAGATAATATCTTGGCTATTGACAGAAACTAAAAGTAATGTTACTAATGCTGTTGAATAACAATCAAAGTGACTCAGGTTTTAAAAACGGATGGATTTGGAAACCAAACATTTAAGACCATTTCACAATAGATATATATTTAATACTGTACTGGGTATGTAAAAAGCTTGGTTGATAAAGGAAAATATATAAAGCAAAGAACTGGATATCCTTGAAAAAAACCTCCTGAAGAAAATTGTAGCTACCTTGAGTTGGCACTGACAGTCCTAAATTGGTTAGAACTGGTGCTCAGCTACAGATTAAGAGAGGAAGTTTATACCAATTGTTTTTCAAACTTGGCAATTTTAAGATGAGTGGACTTCAATGCCCAGAATTCATGCTGGCTGGAGAATTCTGGTAGTTGAACTCCACACATCTTAAAGTTGCCAAGTTTGAAAAATACTGATTTACACAGAATGTACATTCTGTCAATCTTGTAGAAAAGTTATATACATATGAAACCTATTAAAATTACTTCAATATTTTTGGAATAACATACAGCCATTAAATATTTTTATATAGGTTACAACATTTCACTTGGAATATTCTGCAAAATCGGGCATTATTGATGGGGCCATTTTTCAACAAGCAAACGATATGAGAGTTCTCTACAAAATTCTGCAATTTGCTTCAAATCAAATTTCCTATTAGACATTAGTTTAATAAGACACTAAAATTATGTATAGATTTATGGAAAAGCATATGGCAATTAAATACATTTTACAGTCTGTAACATTTACCTGGTAGATTGACTAAACAGAGTTGCAATCAATTGGACAGTTTATCTTAAAGATACTATTTTAATAGACATACTAAAAATAGTCCCTACTGAGAAAAAGCATCATCTTACAGCATTTTCTCTTTTTCTCAACAGAAAGAAATGCTTCTTTTTAAAAAATGTAGCAGCTTCTATAGGGAAGCAAAGAAGGCCTGCATAAATGTATCTACAATCCAGGTTAATATGCCAAATGCTATGTCCAGTACCATACAAAGCATATCAAGAAAATTTCCCTAAGCTTCATATAGAAGGCAGAAGAAACAGTTTTCTTCCAAACAACAGAAACAAAAACTTGAAACAAGAAAAGAAAATCTCCCAAGTTACATGCATATTCTGCCCCCGATTTTTAATGTTACCACATAACAAAATATCTTGAACTGCAAACCTACCTTGATGTTTCAGTTACATTTCCCAAATGCATAAATTGTTTGGAATACTGCATACATTTCTATTAATGGAAAGTAGAACAAATGTTTGAAATTGATTTGAAAGGAAATTTATCCAGTCCGATGTGCAGAATTTTGGTTTATTACAACCAAGCAATCATACTGCTACATAATTTAGGATTACACATTTAATGATTTCTACCTGCTTGCAAGAAAAGCTAAACACACACATATCCCTCCAACCCCAATCTTTTTTGCTCCCTCAAATTACTCTGAATTTATGAGGCAGTTAAGGGTATATGAATGAAATATGGAGCAAGGATGACACTGTATCGCTGGGTAGTATTTAATCTACTTATAACTTGATAAGGGAGAATGAAGCATCTGATTAGGCTTCTTTTTCTAAAAGTTTGTAAACTCTGCCTTTCCCCACAGCAGGCCTAGCTCCATTTTCTCTACAATTAAATGAGAAGAAATGATTATAGAAAAAGTGAAGGGAAGTGATGGGAAAATATCACTGAAATGGGCTGTAGTTTCTCATGGGATGACAGAGTTTCCAATCCTAAACAGAGAACAGGATGGCTCATTTCAGACATAATGATAAAACCTAGTTTGCTACCATGCACAAGTAGCAGAACGTCATAATCATGTGGTTTATACTCTTTCATTTTCAGACGTGGCTATAGATAAGGAAACAGAAATGTTTCTTTAAAAAATTGCCAACACACAAGTGAATTTTGACTCTTTGGAACTATAGTTTCTAAAAAGCCAGGCGCAAAGTTCATGGTAATTTTGCCTGGTTCAAACAAGCCAAAATTTAAATCAGGAATGCAAAAATGTAGACTCAAAGCATCCTTTTGCAGCATCAGGAACTCAGGCCCTTTGTGGGGAGGGGGATTATGAATGAGTCACCCTTTTTTATTTGCATTTTTGAAGCTTTAAAAAATATTAAGGGTAAACAGACTCACAGAAATGGAACCTAACCCAATCTACTTTTGGAATGCAGCCCTGAAGTTGGTTAGTCTGATGAATCCTTCCAGCTGAAACAATTAGGGCATTCCTGAATTAAACCAAAAGCATTGAGAGGTCCTTGGTGCTCTCTGAGCTTGGCTGTTTTCTGGTGGACGTTTCATTACCCAAACTAGGTAACATCATCAGTGCTGAGAGAGAGCAATTCTTGTGGCTCATCATCGGTCAGCGCAGCTGGCAGCAGAGTCAGACAGTGAGGAGGTTGGGGAGGGACATGGGCCAGTCCTGGAGGCTGGGGAAAACTTGGACAAGGGCTCTGCATCAGAGGCAGAGATGGAGCCAAGGCCGTCTGGCAGTTCTCAGCTGCCTTCAGAGCTAGACAACAGTGAGGAAGAGGAAAAGCTGGAGCTGGAACAGTGTGCACATGCGCAGAGCTGCCAGAGGAACAGCCAAGAAATCATGGTCGACTTGAGAGTAAAGCCACAGGTGGACAATGAATGGCCTCTCCCATAAGTAATAAAAGAGGAGCGAAAGGGGGGTGGGCTTCTGCAGAAAACAATTTGTTTGTTTCAGGAGTGTGAAGATCTGTCTGTGAATCTCAGAGACTCTGTGCCAAATCTTTCCTTGCACAGCACTGCGTTTGGAAAATATTTACATGGCAGCTTTCCAAGCTAGATAAGGTCTGTGATCATAAATCCACGTTTGAAAGACAGTTTACCAGGCCTTGCTGAATGTGAATGAGAGGAATTCACATTTGTTTAATAAAAGGGGTTTTGTCGGGACCAGGAATCTGCTTCATGCTTTTTGGGGAAGCTTAAGTCAGAACAGCACCCAAGATCCCTCATTTCAACTACAGCTAAAAATAGTCTCTTTTAGCATTCCAAAGCAAAGCTGTATGCAAAGGCGAAGACCGGTTCTCCTCTGCCGCCTTTTTGCTTCACTGGACTGGAGAAGTTTGAGGCGAGAAAGGATGTGATTCTGACACCCGAGACTTTCTAGGGAACTACAGTTCAGACCACCTCCACTCACCTCATGCTGGTCTTTCAGGAGACTGATGAGTTGAATGTAAACTTCTTCTACTTTCTGAGAAAGTCTAAAGTCTTCATGATGTATGAAAATAAAATCACCCTCGTCATCCGTAGGAGGTGAAGGCAGCTGTACAGAAGAACACAGAACATGTCAAGAGATTCCCTGGAAAAAGTGTTGCTGAGATAAAGAGATGCCATTCAGAGGAGAAAGGAAAAGACTGGGGAGAAAAGGTCAACCGAACACTTCTCTTAGAATATCAACTTTGATCTCAAGGGCTCATGTGATACAATGTACAGGTAGTCTTTGACTACAACCCTTCATTTAGCGATGGTTCAAGAGTTACAATAGCACCAAAGAGAGTGACTTAAAAAGGGTCCTTGCCCTTAACAACTATCAGTGTTCCCATGGACACAGGATCAAAATTGGGGCTCTTAGCAACTGGCATATATTTAGGAAGGATGCAGTGTCCCAGGATCATGTGATCTCTGTTTCACAGCTGGCTTCTGACATGTAAAGTTAACGAGGGAAACGGATGGTTGTACAATTGGGTGCCACTCACTTAACAATAGCCTCACTTAATGATGGAAGTCCCTGTCCCTATTTAATTATAAGTTGAGGATGACCTGTATCTGTTTTCATGGACTAGCAGGCAACACTAAAAAGCAGTGCTACATGACACTGAATGGCTTTCAAAGGCCAGTGATCCATCTAGGGGAATGCTGAGTGACTCCCAGTAATTGAGGCAGTGAGGAACTTTGCCTGCCCCATCTTTCCTAAGGTTTTGGGGATAGCATTTTCCATTAGCAATTGTGAAACAATATTTAGATTGACTCCTGAATTGTTGATCAGAAAGGTCAGCAGTTCAGTGGCTTGAATCCCTAGCACCGCATAATGGAGTGAGCTCCCGTTACTTGTCCCTGCTTCTGCCAACCTAGCAGTTTTAAAGCATGTAAAAATGCAAGTAGAAAAATAGGGACCACCTTTGGTGGGAAGGTAACAGCGTTCCGTGCGCCCTTGACGTTTAGTCATGACGGCCAGATGACCACAGAGATGTCTTCGGACAATGCTGGCTCTTCAGCTTTGAAACAGAGATGAATACCGCCTCCTAGAGTAGGGAATGACTAGCACATATGTGCAAGGGGAACCTTTACCTTTACCTGTACCTGAGTACCTGAGTGTGGAAAGGGTAAGGGATATTTCTATTATTCTTTACCTTCTCAGCCCAAAATGTTTCGAATACTGTACATTTGTGAGAACTTGCAAATAACTGCTATTTCAAGAAACCATGGCTTCAAAAATCCTGAATTATATGAGGATGCAACCATTAAATTACCTCTTTCTTCACCACCCAGTTGAACTGTTCCAAACATAGGAACAATACATTATTTTAAACAACAACACATATAGACATTCGAAATAGGCCAGTCTTGCTAACCTTTGAAATATCTACCAATTTGCCATTTTTGGCCATCTCAATTTTTGGATCTAAGCTCTTGGCTGTTCTCAGGTAGGCCTTGGCTTGTTCAAGATCATTTTTCTTCTTTGCCTGAATTGCAGCTTTGAGGTATTGCTTTTTTCTGTTCTCTAAAAATTCAAGATGCTCCTTGGCTGAAAGGAAACAAAAACGGTCCTCTGTTTAAAAAAATGTTTCAGATGCGGATCTGACCCAAACAACAAACTTTCGTGCTTTTCATTTAATCACACAGGCAAATACACAGAAAACCATTGATCAAATACCATTGTACAAAAGGACGCTGAGGTTACACTGCGCAAGGGTGAGAATAATTTTAACTTTATGAAAGATGACAAATATGTCAAAGCAACCAAGTACATTTTTCACTAAGGGGTCTTTTACTCATTCTGGTTTTTTAAAAAAATAATTCTTATAGGAAGAACCTCCAGTTTCAAAGACAGAAGATAGGGTAGCTATGTTTGGCCTTCATCTCTGAACTTCCCTGAAGCATCCGCTTGGAAGACAGCAGAGGTATAAACCACCTTTTGTTTCTGAGAATCTGCAGCAGGTCTAACCATAGTGCAGATTAGGGTGTAGTACAATTTTTTGTGGGTTCCCCCCAGCAGTGGGGTTCACTTACCTTCCCTACTGGTTCGCAAATATGAGTGCACGTGCCGCATCTGTGCATCGGCCTCTGCACATGTGCAGTGCTCATGCATTACGTCGGGGCGGGTGGGGAGAGGCTCCCGCAGCCACTGCTACCGGCTCACTCGAACCGGAAAGAACTGGCTGAATACCACCTCTGGTTCCCCACCCTTTCCCTTTTCAGAACTTTACTGTTTTATACTGTTTTAGGGCATCCACTACAATTTTTGCATACTTCTCAACTTAAAAATTGGGAGAAAACATGTCAGTTGTAATTAAAATCACTCCAGGGCTACAAAGAAAAGGGATCAGGGAGAGTCATATGTGGCATCGGGATTCAAACTGCCCATTTGTTCTAATACATCGGAGCTGTTTTTATTCTCACAATATGGTGTAAACTAGAACAAAAAATAATATGACTGCTGGAGTCAGGTCTCTGCAAACCTTACCAGCTGAAGGGAGATGCTCAATAGATGGCGATCTCTCTGATGCTATTGCAGAGATAGGCAGGGAATGATCTTTCTCTGAAGTGGAGTCTTCCTGGGTTACAGTAGATTGCACCACTAGCGGCTGAACAATTTGCACAGGTTTTGTAGGTAGTGGGGTGGGTTTGGGGGCAGCTGGAGCCTGTGTGGAAGATTCACCCTACAGAAATGAAATTAAAAGTCATGTGCATGAACACTAAATATAAGAAAATGACCAATAGTGAACACATAGATTGTCCAAAATAGAGAAGCCTCATCCTTAAAATGTGGCCTTGTCACAAAATGATTGAACGCATCCTTCTCCAGTTTAGTTTTAAGTTATAATTTTCCAAAATTCCCATAATGTATACTGGCAGGGAATTTCGTAAATTTCAGCTCAGCATGTTTTGGAAGGTGTCAGAGTGGAGAAGGCCAGATTTGGAGTACTCCATTATTCAACATGGGATCGATGAGATTATGAACTAGTAATAGGAACTCAAAATTTAAATCTTAACTGACATTAACAAGGCAAGAGTAATATTCAGCCTTAAACAACCACATTTTCATGATCCTCTCTGTCCTAAATCAAAACAAAATGTGCATCAATACATTGCTTAAAGAACTGTAGGATTAAACTAATTTATTTTTCTTCCTAACATTTTTCCTGCAAGTTCAAGGTCGGCTTTTTTTGAACCAACCAAGTGTTTGTGGTTGTGACAGGAAGTCACGTGACGGCAACCTGATGCCGCGAGTCTGACATCCGTGCTCTGGACTAAACTGGTTCTGTTAAGCTCATATTTATTTTAGTAATATACCTCATCATCATCATCTTTGTCATAGGTTGTTTCTTTCTCCTCTTCCATCTTAATCAACGTGTTAGCATTTTCCAGCATTCCAGAAACTGTGCTATGATCATCTATAGGAGACATTCCAGGAATTGGAGGAAATCCTAACAAAATTCAACAACAAGTCTCAAAATAACAGAGGGAAGAAATATAAACCACAAACATTTAAGGAAGTCATGATTTTAAAAGGGAAAGAGTTCCCTTTACATTCAAACATTTCAAGATCTTAAAATTTGTGGATTACAATGATAGCCCACAAAACAAATACCAACAATTAATAGTATCTCTGAAAAAACTCTAACACAAAAATCCCAGCAATTAAGTTGAAGCTGAATTTTAATTTACTCTAAATGGAAATGTATGAATATCAAAAATCAGAATGACATTCCACATCCATTATGTTTATACATCGGACAACTTTCCCATATTAACTATATGGTTTTAGATATGGACAGAATGTTGTTCTGTCGCATAATTTTATCCATTTATACTATAATACTTGTGATCATCCCAGGTAAAAATATTGCAACTTCATCCTCAAACTTTGCAACATAAATGAAATATATCAGCAAAAGTGCATTCTCCAGAACGCCACATGTGTGAAGGGTTATTCAGAGTTCTCATTTCCATAAAATCCACAGTGTTCACAATGGTAGAACAGAGGGGCGGATTTGGAATAATAGCAATTTTTACAATTTCTGCCAATACAGTAAGGATAAAGATTCTTAGGGAAGTAAAACTTTCAAGCATTTGTTTGTTGTTAAAACCATTCGCATGATTTAGAGGTGACAACAGGCCATCTTTTTCTGTACATTTCGTAATGCTGTCTCAGTCTCACAACAATCTGCTGAAATATATTTGGCACATAGAAAATGTTTATGCTAGGATATTTCTCACTAGGCACAACCCTGATAGTTACCCACTTACCAGGGGGGACCGGTAGTTCAGCAAAGTTCACTTTTCTTCCTGATTTATGTGCTTTTATGGCATCTTGATATTGCTGCAATCAGATATGTTGTTTAGAGAGAGAAAATACTTATTTATTCCTCATTTGCTGCCAGAAATCAATATGTCTTTGAAAATTCTCTTGGAACAAAAGAGAAGAGTATGTCTTATAGAGATGCATGCACATATTAGGTACATAAATATGAATTGTGTGTTCAGATTGGTAGAAAAATGCTGTATTTAACTTTGTATCATGAAGTTCTGGTTCATTCAGGGATTCATTGAAACACACAATTTGACCATGTAACTTTTGCATGAACTCTATTTAAAAAAACACTTATGTTACAGAGTACACAATTGTCAATGGCTTTTTTGGCAAAGAATATTAACCCATGTCTTTGTGATTTAATTTGATGTGTCCTTATACCTGCTTATTATTCAGAATTAAGTCCCACTAAGTGCAATGGAGCTTACTCTTCCATAAAGGGGCAAACTATTCTAGTTCAGTATGAAAGCACATTTTCATACCATGTTGTGTAGTGTTGTACAGAAAACAAAGGAGCCAGGTTTGTCTAGTGGTTAAGATGCTAGAATGGAGGGAGATGGGAAACCTGAATCCCACTTCCCTAGGCAAGAAAGCCAGCTGAACAATCTTAAACAAGTCAACAGCTCAGTCCTAGGAAGATGCCAGACCTGCTGTACACAGGCAGTGCTCAATTTATGCTCATTCACTCAGTAAACTTTCAAAGTTATGATGATGCTGAACAAATGGTTTCCCTGGAAAGTCAAAGGGGAAGCCAGCAGAAAAATTTGCAAGTCCCTGGGGTAAGTCTCTCCCACCACCATACCCTCGTCCAGCCCTTTTTGGTTTCAACTGTTGCTGATTTGTACTTTTCCAACCGCTACTGCGAGGCTTTTCTAGCACTGTTTTGGATGCTGCTTAAACCTTAATGGCCCTTATATATCCCCATACACCCTCCCTGAGCCTCACAGTGCCCTCCTCGCACCCTTATTGAGCCTTGTTCAATCCCTTGCACTCTCTCACTGTGCCCCTCTTACACACCCTTGCTGTGCTATTTCACATCCTTCTGAGCCCTCCCCAACACTCATTGTGCTTTTCCTGCAACCTTACGCACCCCCACAAATTGTCCATGAGGCTTGCCACGCCTCCCTCCCACTCTCTTGCCCTCCCGTACCTGGCAGCAGCCATTTAACTGCCTGCATGCTTTGCTTATTAGCCACTTGGAACTTTCAATTTCCTGTGGGTTTTCCCACTGACTTTGTTTTGGAAGGCTGACAGGAAGTTGCTTTGCTTAACAACCATGAAATTCAGTTAACAAAAGCCACCTGGACTGCAGGAATTGTGATTTCTGAGCGATACGGTTGTGCTTTATAACCATATTGTTTAGCGACAGAAATTCTGGTCCCAGTCATTTGCCATAAATTGAGAACTGCCTCCAGTTACAGTTTAAGACTTTGGATAATTCAAGGTCGATTTGAAGTTAAAAATAAAATAAAATCAGAAAACAACCTCTCAATTATATTTTGGTGAAAAGGTGCTAAATCTATGCCTCACAGGAAAGACATTAGAAACGGGGAACTATTGCTAGCATCAATTGAACCCCACCCTTATCTTTATTTTTAACCTTGGCTATTCTGTCGTGCATCCTACTTTTCCGGCCATCACCATTTGCTTTGGCTCGAGTTGCTGCTGACTTGTACTTTTCCAGCCTCTCATTCAGAGCTTCTAGCACCGTTTTTGGCTGCTGTTGGGAACCTATGAAATGCATGCAAAAAACATACCATAAGAGCACAGTCATGGAATGTGTAGCTCTTTATTTTTCTGTAATCCAACCAGTATTACTTATTGATAGAAAAAAGCTAAAAGAAGCTTTACTTTTTTGCAATACGTTTATTTTAAGGTTGCCCTTAAAGACAGCCACAACAACCACACCCACAACAACAACAGCAAAGCAACTGTGTTTGCAATTTTAATACTATAGCTAATTATATCTGTAAGACACATCTCACCTGGCTCTTCGTAACCTTGAAAATCCGGTTTAGTTACAAGCTGACAATTTTCCACAGGTACAGATGGAGTTTGTATTGAGGGAGACTGCACGTCTTCTGTACTTTCAAGTTCTGAAAAGAGCATTTATAAAGAACAAGAAAATATCTGGCTACATTTCATAATAAGCCAGGGCATGATAAATTTAGTTTAATTGGAGCACAATTTAATTAGACCCCAAGCAAACAAATGAGTACTAAGAATGCCACAGATTAAAACAGCCAACCTAAGAGCTATCTATCAAATATCCAAAAAATCCTTTTAACTGAAAATAATTTTAATAATTTGTTGGCTGTCCAAAAAGTGACAACTGGATGGATGCAAAAAAGAGGCAATGGATTATATCTGTTTACTAGGAAAACCAAAAAGGTATATTTATTCAAAACAAAACAAAAATAGAGGCAAGAAACGAGCACACCTGAGTTATGAGATTACACGGCTTGAGCAATTCAAGGCATCCAGATTTAGGCTTAAGCAGATCCACAAATAATAATAATACAAATGGTCCACAAGAAAAACGGCATATAGGTAGTCCTCGGTTTATGACTACAATAGAGCCCCAAATGTCTGTTGCTAAGCCAAGCAGTTGAATTGGGCCCCATTTTATGACTTTTTTCACCACAGTTGCTAAGTGAATCATGCAGTTGTTATATGAATTTGGTTTCCCCCATTGACTTTGCTTGTTGGAAGCCAATTGCAAAGGTCACAAGAGGTGATCAATTGAGATTCAGGACAGTGCAACTGTCATAAACACAGGCCCGTTGCCTAGAGCCTGAATTTTGATCACTTGCTGCAACAGTTGTAGGTGTGAAAAATGGTAATAAGACACTTTTTTTCAGTGCCATTGTAACTTGGAATGCTCACTAAATGAATTATTGTAAGTCGAGGACTAGCTGTTACGGAAGCAACATTAATCGGGTTCCAAAAGAAAGAGGATTGAGAATCATGTAGAACTTTTTGCAAGTCTTTTAAGGACACATGTGCAATGTGTACAGAGTAACCTAATAAAATAGATGAGAAAAAAACCATATTTGCTTCCAGAGTCAATTTTTAGGTATTGGAAAACAAACTTTAAAGTATTGGAAAATTTTAAACCTGAAAAGTCAAAGCCTCCGTACTCTTGGGGTTTGCATACCAGGGTATCAGAAGGTTTTGGGCTGCAAAGAGGCCTACTGCCATTCTTCATACTTTATCCAAGAAGAAAGAAATTATTTCTTACTTTCCAGGGCAGGAGGCATATCCCTGAGGACTACAGGCTGCCCATTATCCAAGGCTTCTATAACCAGGCTAAATTTCTGAAATATAAAAATAACGTCTCGGAAAGTTAAAAGATGTAATATACTCTTTTACCAAACAATTCACAAGGCAGTAATTTCATATAGGACCCCAAAATATTTTCAGAATCCTAAAAAACTACTTCCATTTAAAGTAAAACATTCTTGAGCTTCTACTCTTCTGAGTGACAAAGATATAATGCTTAAAAAAATCAGAACAGAAACAATATGGGCTTTTAAAAATCAATAAATTTCACAATTAGCCTGAAGTCTTATTTTTCCTCTCTCTGCGATACTGAAGTTAGACCCTATAATTTATGCCTACCACAGGTACATCTATCTTATTTCCTAGACTATCATTGTAATTGCAAAAAATTCTTAATTATATCAAGTCTAGATAAAGTGGGCAGCTGAAAAGCTGAAAGCCAAGTGAAACACATACTTCTAATTTGGATAAATTATTCCGATTCCATAACGTATTACTGTATCTGAACACCATATAGATTTTCTAACTTTCATTTTCATGATTCTAACATTTTATTTCATTGTGGGTTTATTTTATTTGATTTCTATAGCCACCCATCTCAACAGGTGATTCTGGGCGGTAGTGGTACTAATACATAAAGAAGAAATCATTTTAAAGCTGGGTTTATACATTGTGCTAAGCCGTAATATAGTTTGCCTGGTTTTAATTTAATATAGTTCTGATTAAATCCATTTGAAATAAACTAGGCTTATTCAATTAATCATAGATGAGCAAAGGTTAAGCAAATAATAGCTTAGTGCATCTCTGAGCTCAGTTCTTGGATCACAATTATACGTAGCCATAGTGGCTTTTAGAAAATATGGAATATTTAGATACAATGGATTCAAATCCTTCAGCCAGCTCTATTTCACGTACTGTAAACAGTAGAACCTCTGGTCACAACTATAATTCGTTCCACAACTTTGGTCACAACCTAATTTGGAAATTTGGCACTTACAAAAAATAGTGCGGAAGGGGAAATTGGCTGCGAAACAAAAATTGTGAATTTTTTGGTTGGAACCCGATTTGGTCGTGGTCAGAAGCATTAATGGCCAGAGGTTCTACTGTATAAGGAGATCCTTGGGATTTCAATATCCAGGTAACATAAAGTTGCTCAGAGAAGAATAAGTATTTTATTGCAGTGGTCTCCAAGTCACTGCTGTCCAGAGTTGTTGAATTACCACCCAAAACAGGTAGCACAGCCAATCAATCAAACAAACAATCAAACAAACAAATCATTCTCAACTGGGCGTGAGGGGTTCTGTAGCCTAGATTATTTTAATATCCAGAGGGCATCTAACTGTGGAAGTCAGGGAAGAATGCAAGACTCAAAAGACCAACACAAATTCTGGTCTGATAAAGCCACCTTGATTTGTTGATTAATGAAGCCTCACCTTCCCAGTCCTCATGTATTCTTTTGCCTTCTCAAGGTCCCCTTTCTGTTTAGCTTTCAATGCTGCTAATTTGTACTCCTTCTCTCTTGTCACAAGCAGTGCCCGTGTGTCAAGATGTTTGGAATCTGAACAACATAATAAAGTCAGCCAATAAAACATCTCCTATAGAAGAATAACCATTTTTGGCCCTCACCCCCACATCTGGAACAGAAAAGCAGGAACACGCTTATTTTTGAACATCCTGTACGCAGAATGGGTTCCTGATGAAAAAGCATCAACTATAAAACTACTTACCATTTTCCAAAGTAGCTTTTGTTCCTAGGTCATGTGTGTTTACATCCTGATCCTCGACAGCAGTTCTGTTTACAGACAACTGCTGATCACTGGGATCTGTCAATTTCTGGGCTGCTGAGAGGCCTTCCACGCCTTCCTCCTCAGGTAATGGCACTTCATCTTGATCAGTTGAGCTTTTAGGCAAGTCACTCTGAGGCGTGGCCTGTGGCACAGATGAAGAGCTCTTCCCAGATGCCACAGGAGGTGGCATTTCTTCTTCATTCACTTTTTTGCCATTCTTCAACGCAGTCAGCATGGATTCCAGTGTCTAGCAATTGCAAGGCAACACCAAATGATAAGTTTAACAACTCTTTTTTACAGATATCCTAATCAAGCTCATTCATTATAGACATACTGGCAACATATTCCACAGAGCTAATAAAAGAAACATATTTTAAAGCACCTCAAAATAACTGTAGAAATGTGTAGTTACAAAATTAAGGAAACTTTCTCTTCTCAGTTACATGTGTATCAATTTTCTTAATATATCCCCATCAACATATTTGGGAGTTTCTAAATGATCAAAAAATATAAATTGTAACAAATCAATTAAAACAGAAGTGTTCTTTTTATACTTTTATTCTTTAGTTTGCGACACTTGGCTAAAAATACCTATAAACTATTTGAATTCAAGACAAATGTTTAACATTTACCCTCAGCTAATTTTAGATTATATTTTCCCCCAAATAGACACACTGATTCTTTTAAAAATGACTATATTGTGCCTTTTACAATGATTTTTAAAGGTTAGCTAAATATCCAGAATTTATTTATTAAATTTAGCTTGCTAAAGGAAACCACTGTCTAAGATAGTTTTTACTTTATGCAACAAACATTAAGAACTATATGTAATTTATTCCCCCAACTTTAATCTGTACCAAATTTTAACAGAATATGATTAGCATCTACATGATGCTCTCTTCTCAGCACATTCTGTGGTCCTCCTGGCTTGTTTGAACAATTCCTCCCAGGAAAAATTCAGCATGTTGGTCAATATAATCCGACATACCTTGAGACCTCGCTCGTATCGTCGCACTTTGGCATTTTCACCAGCCTCCTTTGAGTTCAGTATTGCTGTCTTGTAAATAGCTATCCTGTCTTCTACCGTCTTCTGCAATCCACTGGAAACAACAGGAATCATCTCGAAGAAGAAAATAAAGAGAAAATAAAGGAGGCAAAAATAAAATCAAACAGGCCACTCAAGCATCCATACGAAACTGTTACTTTGAACATGGACAGCTTGGACATCAGACTTAAAACCAAAGATCTTGAACAGAAGAGCATTTGTGTCCCAGCACCTCCGGGCCCTTTGCCCAGAGAAGCTGCAGATGGTGGGCGGGTACCTCTGGAAATTATGCAGACACAGGATAACTGTAGGGAGAATTTAAGGAATTGGAAGTCTCAGCCATTTCAGGGAAAGGCTGGACAGACAGTTATTTAGAGTATAAAAGGACTATTCTTCCCTGTAGAAATGAGGGTGCAAAGCAGTTCTTAACATAATGTCTACTTATAAAATTATTTTCTTCTACTCAAGTACTAGTCATCCAAGAAGAACCAGTAGCAATTACAAACATTCTGCCAAGAGACTGATAGTGTAAGTAAATGTCAGCATCACTGCTTATCATCAAAATTGATAGCAAACACATCTCACAGGGTAGTTCAAAGGGAAAACCACCACTATCACACCAGAGGAAACACATGAACAGAAGAGACTGTCCTGAGATGATAATCTTCATTTATATTGCCTACAGACTGCTTGTAGGCTGACTAAGGGGCCCTTAGTCATACTTATTTGCAACCCTCCAAAAGATGTGCTCTAAACTATTCAGACAATATTGCTTTTTATTATTCTCTCCTTTGAAAATGTTAATGATTTTTGAAACTGCCTTAGAACAAATGCCAAAGGCTACAACAAGGCTATCTTCCAGCACACGAGGCAGAAATCTTTTAAAAAGGAACAGAACATCTCACGCCCTTCAGATGTTTTGGACTGTAACTCAATTAGCCAAAGCAAATATGGCCAGTAACTGAGAACAATGAAAACTGTATCCAAGGATTGGGAATGTATTTATGATATGAATACACTGAACAATTTGGGGTAAAGCAGGTGATTATATTGTTCCTTTCGGCCAGAGTTACCTGTGTTGGCATATCAGTGTGATGCTCTGTGGTTATAGGAGATGTTCCCGTTGTTTCTGTCTCTCTCTCTCTGGTTTCTTCTCCATGTTCCTCTCCCAGGACTTCCTGTAACTCTGCCTAGAATAAGGACCATGGCAGTTATTGCTACAAAATAGCTATTGCTGTTCCATGTTAAAATGAACTACAGAAAATTTAATGTATCTTCCCACACCTAGTGCCCTATAATTCCTAAATAGCAGGAGCAATAAGAATACACGGAAATAAAGACTGTCTTAAGTGCCACTGATGGATGAATTTCTGAAGTAAAAAATACTTTATTTCATAATTATAAAAACCAATAATAGCAATAGCAATAGCAGTTAGACTTATATACCGCTTCATAGGGTTTTCAGCCCTCTCTAAGCGGTTTACAGAGTCAGCATATTGCCCCCAACAACAATCTGGGTCCTCATTTCACCCACCTCGGAAGGATGGAAGGCTGAGTCAACCTTGAGCCGGTGAGATTTGAACCGCCGAACTGCAGCTAGCAGTCAGCTGAAGTGGCCTGCAGTACTGCACCCTAACCACTGCACCATCTCAGCTCTTTTATGATATAAAATGATATACGTATCATATACAGGCAATCGACTTATGACCAACCATTTAGTGACCATTCAAAACCACAATGGCACTGATAAAATTGACTTGCAATCTGTCTTCACTCTTACAATCGGTACAGGAACCCCAGAGTCACGTGATCAAAATTTGGGTACTTGACAAGTGGCGTATCTGTACAATGGTTGCAGAAGGCAGAGGTCACGTGATCTCCATTTGCAACCTTCTCAGCTGACACGCAAAGTCAATGGGGAAAGCCAGATTCACTTAATGACTGAATAGCTTGTTTAACAATGGCAGTCATTCGCTTAACAGCTATGGCAGAAAGGTCATAAAATCAGGCATGACTCAATTAATTGCTTTGCTCAGCAATGGAAAACTCTTGTACCGGTTATAAGTTGAGAACTACCTGTAATATGCAACTAGTTAATTTAACTAGTTAAAAATTATGTTAGTTAAAACCTGGTATTTGTCATGGGAGGCAAGGGGGAAGCATTCTGGAATGATTTTTTTTCTAAATTCAGTGAAATGTGTTATTTAAAGGCATCTAATAGATTTTTCACTAAATTATGAATCGGTGCAGCACATTCCTTTATGAATGCTAATCACAACCAACAAAACAAAGTACCACAATTCAGCACACAAAGAGAACTACCCCTGCATTAATTGTATATAATCTTAAACAGAAACCTGGCTGCAAAATTGAACTGTAGATGTGCCACTTCTTAAAGCTGCAGCTAAGAATAGTTTTTTTCTTGCAAATTCTAGCCTAGGCTCTCAATCATGATAAATTTATGTCAACATCTTTGGCTACATCTTTTCTTCAGAATTGTATCTTGACAAATATTTTAATTTGTTGTAGACATATTAAGTATGGAAAAAAGCTTAAGCACAACACTACTTTCATATTTTCAATTTCCTATACTTTTGCATCCTTATTATCTTCTGCAGAGATATGAAAGGATAGCAAAGTTTGTTTCATATCATAAGATGGGTTTGCTTGTTATGAAACCAAACAGAAATATTTTTCCTTAAAAAAACCAAGAAATCAATTTACTATTCCTAAAGCACACAAGATATTATATATTTCTATTGTACACATCCATGTGTATCATTTCTGTCCTCTGACTCCCAAAAATACCATTTCAGAAGACTAATTTGATGTGATACAGTAGAATGTTTTAATACCATAGCTTAAAACAAACCAGAATTTCTTGCATTTCCCTCTTAATACTCCTCAAATGCAATATTTGAGGCAATACAGTACATATTATCAAGGGGCAAAGGGGCTGCAGAAAATTAAAATAAAAAAATCTTAAGGAAAGGAACTCAACATTTATAGTTACAAAAGGTAATTCCCATAAAAAGAGCCAAAGTGGCGCAGTGGTTAAATGCAGCACTGCAGGCTACTTCAGCTGACTGCAGTTCTGCAGTTCGGCTGTTCAAATCTCACCGGCTCA